ATTGCTTTTATTATTATTTTTTGGGATTATAATGTTGATGTTTTCATAGTTATGTTTTCTTATTTTTTCAAAGATTCTGCTGTGTCCTGTGTTCTGGTCAGTTGTGTGCTGTACACGGTTAGTTAATGGGCGTCATTATGCTGAAGGGTCGATATGTTCCATTAAAATGTGAAAACACAAGTGCAGAGCTGATGGTCTTTGCTGTGGTTTTGATTTAAGGCCTTAACAATGAATCAACAAATGCAGGCATACTAAAAACATTTCAACTCTGCCAGACAAATATACAGGGCTAAAATCTAAACAGGACTTGCTCCAGGTTTCACCAGCATGTCAGGAGTCTTTCTCCTGCTAATTGTTTAGCAAGCGTTCTTCAGACTAATAGTGATTAATCAAAGCGGGAAAGCCGACCATCAGCTGTGGCATGTTTTGCATTTCCTGTGCTGGTGGATTGGCCATCATTAGCCGTTAATTGAAACCTTGTTTGGGAAGAACAAGTCCCTCAACGAGTCAGACGGGACATCTGTAGAAGTGAATGAGAGAATACAATTCCAATCTTCTTTATTTCAATAGCGCTGTATACAATACAGATTGCAATGCATATTACTAATCAAAAATTAAGTTTTGATATATTTACGGTAAGAAATTTACAAAATATCTTCATGGAACATGATCTTTACTTAATATCCTAATGATTTTTAGCATAAAAGAAAAATTGATAATTTTGACCCATACAATGTATTGTTGGCTATTGCTACAAATATACCCCAGCGACTTAAGTGTCCACACTGGTTCTGTATGTGCGTATATTGAAGCTTTTGAGCTGCTCATGAATGGCAGCACTGCAAGATCATTATTTTAACTACTTAACGTCAAACGTCAATTGAAGTCTCGTTACCGAATCAGTGCTTGGCCGGGCTGCTGATGAGGAAAAACGCTCATGGTGTTTACATTCATTCTGCTATTTCCTTCTTTCTGAAGCATTGAAAGAGCAGAGTCATGTAATACGTGTATTAAAAATGAGCGCAGCGGAGCAGGAAACATCTCACTAGCACAGCAAAGCCTTTGAGTCGAGGCCAAACCGATCTGAGGAACGCAAACCTGTCGACTAGAGTGCAAACGTGTCAGCAGAGCAGCGCTGTGTGTTTGACTGTCATGATGGAGTTTCCTCAGACGGCTCAGAATCTGTGTGTGTGTGTGTGTGTGTGTGTGTGTGTATCTGATAACCAACCTCAGGGAGGAAATAGTAGTAAGACCTAAAAACACAGCGGAAAGGCTTGTGGGGTATTTTATGGAAACGAACATTTAAACTCCAAGCGTGCGATCACCACATTAAAGCAGCGTGTTCTGGAGCTGACCGCTGGCATGCTGTTCCTCTGCCAGTGCACTGCTTTTCATTAGACCTCCCGATTCTTTCAGTTGATTTGGTAAATTAACCTACAAGAGGCAGAACACACCATTCAGACTGGAAAAGAGCGTAGCAGCAAATTGCGTTTATCAAAAACACACTCGAGAACTGTTTACCTTATGTGATCTGATGGAGGGAAGTGCAGCGGGGAAACGCCGTCCTCACAGCGCAAACCTGTAAACCGCATCCTTCACTTTTATGGTTCAACTCCATTAGCGATATCTCGCATCTGTCATCAGCCATCAATCTCAGCAGCCCATGATGTTCAAATGGACACACACACACACATACACACACACACACATTACCTTATAATACTTTGTCTTCTATCATTCATTCTTGTGCCTCTTTCAGTCTCTGTGTGTATATAAGATCATGTAGATTATATGTCTTGACATTAGAAGTACAAAGAAGTGTCAATAGCAGTTGAATTTCTAGTGCATTTATTGAACATTCACACACATGCAGGTCAAAGACATTTACATTTAGTCATTTAGCAGATGCTTTTATCCAAAGTGACTTACAAATGAGGACAATGGAAGCAATCAAAATTAACAAAAGAGCAATTATATACAAGTGCTATAACAAGTCTCAGTTAGCTTAACGCTGTACACGTAGCAAGGTTCTTTTTAAAATAATATAATAAATGAAAAGAAAACAGATAGAATACAAAAAGATTAGAAAGCAAGTGTTATTTAAAAAAACAATTTTTTTATTAAGAATAGAATTAGAATAGAGCGTGCTAGACTTAGAGGGTCAAATAAAGATGGGAGAGATGTGCCGATTCTTGAAGATGGTTAAGGACTCAGCTGCTGGGATTGAGTTAAGCAGGTCATTCCACCAGGAGGGAACAGTTAATGTCAAAGTCTGTGAAAGTGATTTTGTGCCTCTTTGGGATGAACAATAAAGCTCCGTTCACTTGCAGAACGCAAGCTTCTAGAGGGCACATAACTCTGAAGTAATGAGGGTTGACAGGAGGATCTGGTGGTTAACTGTGGCAAAAGCAGCGGATAGATCCAGCAAGATAAGTATAGAAGATTTGGAAGCCACTCTTGCCAGACTTAGGGCTTCAACAACTGAGAGCAAGGCTGTCTTGGTCGAATGTCCACTTCTGAAACCAGATTGGTTGCTGTCGAGAAGGTTGTTCTGTGTGAGAAAGGCTGAGACTTGGTTGAACACAACTCGTTCAAATGACCGATATACATTAAGGTCAGCAGGATTTTTGGATTTACGCCACACCCTTACAGCAGCCCTGAGCTTAGAACGATGCTCACGGAGAACATCAGACAGCCAAGGGGCAGAAGAGGTGGTACGAGCTGACCTGGAAGACAAGGGGCAGACACTGTCTAAACAAGATGTAAGAGTGGAGCAGAAAATATCAGTAGCACTGTTATGACATTAAAAAAAAAAATGTTAAAGACGTCATGAAGGTTCGACTGACGATCAGAACCTCTGCCAGTCATGGATGCGCTGACTTTTTTTTACATTGTGACAATGTTTTCATGTGGATCAAACACATTTATCCCCAACATTTTCAGTACTGTAACATAGTCACAAAGATAAGACTTTATTTATTCAACCATAAATTCACTACAACAAAAACTAACATGATGTAAACATACAACGTTCAGGCCTTTCAGACTCAAACATACAATTGAAAAAATACATTGGAATTTGTATGTGTGAGACAGTATCTTTGTTTGTGTTACAAACATTGAAAAAATAACAGAAGTATAAAAGGATTTTTATACTTCTGTTATTTTTTCAATGTTTGTAACACAAATAAAGATACTTTATTTTTTCAGTGTTCAATGTTTACAATGTTCAATGTTCAATGTTTACAATGTTCAATGTTCAATGTTTCAATGTAGGTACAAAAAAAGTACCTACGGTACTATCAAAACAGTACTATCATCGTAATTTGATGCTTCACATAACAGTTTTTTTCAACTGCTTGCACACACAATCTTTCCTTGTCACACAGTTTCTGAAAGCTGACACTCAAACAGCAGAAGCACACACCAAATCTG